GGGGCAACTACACGCACCTTACAAGCGGTAGAAAAATTCAAGAGTTTAAGAAAGCCGGTTAAAGGACCCGACAACGCAGCCGAAAATGTCGGTTATGTGTTCCAACGAAGTTTTAGAAAAGTCGGTTAAAGGACCCGATAGCGCGTTGGACATAGCACTCTTGAAAAAAGCTGAATTATTAATTTGGAAGTTCGTTCAAGACGAGTGTTTTCATTTGGAGATAAAATGCTTGAAAGCAGGCAAAAGCGTTAAAAGAAGATCACGCTAAAGTAAATTATCTATGGAAATAGGAGAAGATAACTTACTACGTTTAAATGGGCGTTTACCTTTTAAGTCTAATTTGACCGAGGAAAGTAGAAAACCTGTCGAATTAGACGGTAAACACGAAATCGTTAAAATGATGATTAGAGAAGTTCATCATCATTTTGGACATGCCAATCACCAGACGGTGATGAATGAGGTGAACCAAAAATTTTATGTTTTGAACCTGCGTAATGTAGTACGAAGTGTGTCACATTATTGTCAGTGGTGCAGGACATACAGGTCAAAACCGCAGAACGTGCCACAAGGAAATATTCCTCTGGAGAGAATAGCTCACAATGAACCACCTTTTACATGCTCAGCCGTAGATTATTTCGGACCTATGAGTGTGACTATAGGAAGGCGACACGAAAAACGTTGGGGTGTTTTATTTACGTGTCTGACCATCAGAGCAGTACACCTAGAATTAGCAGCCTCATTGACACCAGCGTCAATGATAATGGCATTGAGGCGATTTATCGCCAGAAGAGGAAAACCAGCCGTTATATACAGCGATAACGGGACAAATTTCAAAGTTGCGAATAAAGAATCATTGAAAGCATGCGAAGAATGCTATGAGGGCATGAAAAATGAGTCATTTAAAAAATATATTAAATGGAAATTTATCCTTCCGGGAGCACCGCACATGGGTGGCGCCTGGGAGAGGTTAGTAAGATCAATTAAAATTGCGTTGACCGCTACGCTCAAAGAAAGGAGCCCGCGAGAGGAGGTTCTGCATACGTTGCTTTTAGAAGCAGAGCATACTGTAAATTCCAGACCTCTGGTAACATTCAGTATGGATAGTCCTGAAGAGGGTTTGACACCCAATCATTTTCTTCTGGGACGCTCATGTGGTGATCGACCACCTGGATTATTTTTAGAGCAACATCTGACGGGTCAACTCAATTGGAAATCTGCACAGAGGTTAGCCGACCATTTTTGGACAAGATGGCTAAAAGAATACATGCCTACTTTAATACCTCGAACAGGTAGTAACGGAAAGTTTATGGAGCCTAAAGAAGGTGATATTGTCTTGATAACAGATCTTCATTGCCACGAAATACGTGGCCGAAAGGCAAGATTAGTAGGACGCTACCGGGACCAGACGGTCACACTAGAGTGGTTGAGGTCATTACTAGCACAGGTATCTTGAGGAGACCTAGATCCAGAATAATAGTCCTGGTACCCGCGACGCCTCCCAAATGATGGTGCTGATGCACGGGGGGGGGGGGGAGATTGTTGGCGATGCGCCTATAAGAATATTTCAATTTATTAGTTAACCGATTACGAATAGCTTCTAAAAAGCAAATTATCAAGCAACAATATTCCGATAAGAAAATGCTTAGTTGAATCTTAAAGAAATATCGAATTAATGATATGAAGGTACTTGGGTTCGACTCCCAGGCCGGAATAGTTTATCGTTTTCTTAGTAATATCTCTTAATAAATTCATATTGGGAATTTTTAAGATATAAATTATGTTACCGGATTTGTTCCCCGGTTGAAATCATCTTTCCAATAATGTTAATTTAAAGAAATATTAAAATAAAGTTAGAGACCAGGATTTGTTCCCCGGTCGAGATGATCGGATAAGAGAATTAATGGAAATTGATTGCATGAGTATTGTCTTATATGCGTTTGATATGTTTTGTATGAAAAAAAATGCCTATTTTCTATGATTGATTTATGAAAACATTCACTTATATTGTTTGGTAAGAAACATGATAACTGATAAGAATCTGATTAAAAATAGTTTTCGGCGTTTGAGAATTGAGTAGAATCATTTATTCACCTAGTATTGTTGATATCAGTGTATACTAAACTTTCCATTTTTACTGATAGTCGATAGCCGTGCAAAAGTTAGTTGTTCAAATAGTGTGAGTTTATAGACGCACGCTAGCCACGTACTTAGGAGGCCAAATATGTAGAAATTTAAATATTTGCAAATTTCAGCAATTTATGTAAAATATCTTGTAAAACATTTCAGATTGATTGCACGTGTAAAAGAGGTGAATTCTGTGTTATTTTATGTGAAAATTCCTGTGCATAAGTGAAATAATGATAGTTTTGTATAAGAAATTTAGAAGTGTTTTAATAATATGTATGGAGAAAGTGTAAATTAAACTATTGTATTAGTTAAGATATGTATAATTTCAAGTGGAAAACATTGTTTTAACTTTCTATGTTAAATATTTAAGAAATTCCATCTTTGAACATGTGAGTAAAATAAGCATATTTTGTTAAATAAATAAAGAGGAATGTTTTTTTGTGATATGAAAATGTAATGTATATCGTAGTATAGATATTTTTTGTGCTATCTTTATAAGTAAATTGTATAAATGTATGTCTTATACAAATAAAGTTATTGAGCAAACCGTGAGAGAGTGATAGTACAAATTGATGTAATTGAGTTGCGCAAGCGCACAAATGGCGCGGCTCACTTTCGCGTTTAGCTTCGAGGTAGTTCAGTAAATTGATTTTTCTTGCAAATCGTTCGGGAAAAGTGCAAGACCAGTAGTCAATAAGAAGAAGAAAGAAAAAGTATAGGGAAGTGATAGGGAAAAGTAATTACTCTCTCACGGAACGGTTTGAAGATAATTGCTGTTTTATTCCCAAGGAATTCTCCCCTTAAAGTGATACAGTCCATATCGAAGAATTAAGGCGTTGGGACCGGGACGACTTCGGAAGACCCGTAATCCCCGCCTGAACCTATTTTCTGAAAAGGAAGAGGTTATCGCTCTTGTGTGTTACTCCGTTGCGGAGATCACATACGTTGTTCCCGAACCCAACGTTTAGGAGGCCGTATCGAGAGAAGCCTCGATTCCTCCCTTCTGTTTCTTAGTTAACGTTTGTCTGGTTCCTTTTCACATATCTAGATCGGATATACTCACTTCAGCTGCGCATTTTAAAACAAATAGTCCCTAATAATCTCAAAATTAATTTTAAAGATGATTATCGAAAACTATTTGAATTTTGTAAAATTATACCTATTCACGACAAAGTTGAACTAACATTACTAACTGAAAATTACTTTACTGAGAATTTTAAAAAGGTAAATAAGTTATTCAACTCCGCACGCAGAACTGACAATCTAAAACTGCAATTACCTAAATATAATAACTTATACGGAAAAAAAACTTTAAACTATGTTACCTAATCTAATTAATCAGTTACCTAAATCTTTGAAAGACGTCATAACACGTAAAAACATAAAATATAAATTAAAATTTTTTTATACACAATTAACTCTTACTAAATACTCGTAACACTTTAAACAACTTCTCGTTCTATATTATCGGTTTACTTTACCAACATATTATCTTATTATAAATTTATGAAAATATATGTTATAATCAGCCTGTATCACGATTATTCACAGAATGTAATAAGTTCACCTTGTGATGTTACGCTCATCGCCTAAAACTTTTTTATATTTTTGTACCCACAAATAGCTTGTCAATTAGAAACATAACATTTAATGCACCTAATTTAAGTTGATAATAATATTAATGTAACTTTGGTAATGTAATGTATTGTAAAGTGTTAAATAAAATAATGTGTCGACAGCAATGGTGTACGGAATAACTCTAATGAGTTTATGTTTACACTAAAACTATTCATCTTTGTAATCATAAATTTCTTAAATAAATAAATAAATTAAATAAAAATAAATAAAAATCAATGTGTAGTGTTCGCGTAAATATAAGAAATCATTATCATTATTTCTTTTGCGACAGCAACGCGCTGCGTACCAGCTGGTTGTCGAATAAATAATTTAGCTTTTATAAATCTTTTTTTTTATAGGATAGGGTGACAAACGAGCACACAGTGCACCTGATGGTAAGTGGTTGCTGTGGCCCATAGACATCTACATCTATCCTCGATTACGAATCAAAATGCAGATGCGTTGTCACCCGTGAGGACTAAGATGGAATGCCTCGTTTCCAGTAAAAAGGGTCTCCGGTTCTCTACACTTACCATACGAAAAACAGCAGCATTAAGCTACTATTTCACGCTGGTATTCTGTGAGAGCGTGGTCCTTCCCCGGTCGAGCCGACCCATTCGTGCTACAACTATACTACTAATATAACTGCAGCATGGCTCTACCACGTAAAATCTGAGTTAACGATTTATTAATTGTGGCTATGTCTCATCAATTCTACGCTATCGCATTATAATATGGGGAAATTGATTTCACTAGTCTTTCGAGTACAGAAGAAATGTATTCTTGCAATGTAAACCGCAGTTGCGTTTTTTTAAAGTTTTTTTTTAATATGGAAGAGGTAAACGCAAACTAGTATGCGGCTTCCAAATGGTAAGTTGTGTGCTACTATATCAAAATCCGAGCTTTATGTATATTCGAAATGTATGCTTTTATCTATAGCCATAATTTTAACTCCAAGTTGCCTGCTTAATTTTTAAATAATTAAAATGACACCTATAATCTATTGTAATTTAATTTAATATTTTTCCAATGCCATGAATATTTGTACAATGAAATGACAGAAGAGTATGGTCTCAAATCTAAATGTTGTAAAATCATTGTAACAATTTTATGACATATAAAAATATAATGATTATTATATTTTAGTATAATTTTATTAGGGCTGTAAATATCAATATTAACTTATTGACCCTAATACGTACTGATATTATGATTTGTTTGAAGTTTGAATACATCAAAGTTAATTTTTGTTACAGAAAATTCATTCCACTCCACATAATCGAAGAAGACAGTTACGAGAAAGACGTTTTATTTTACGTCAACCTAGGTGACCCGGAGCTGATGGGCGGTATGACGTACTAATTTTGTATTCATTAATATTTCACTACTAATATTATGCACGCATGAACACTTATCACTGGTTTCAATAAATATTCATAATCTGTCTGACCGATTTCATAAATTTCTTACACTATCTGCTTATGTTTTGCATAAAAGTTGTAGTTTTTAGTTATCTGTCATTTTTGAAAGACATACGAAAGATTTCTAGCTTTACGTCCTTGCCACTGGCGAATTATTATATCTGTAACACTTTTTCTGGTAAATTTTTTTATTAAAATAATTTGTTATCAGGAAGATGCTGTTGCCAATCTCCTATTTCAATTTACAATCTATCGCCTTTTACGACACCACAGTTTTCTTATGTTTATTTATATTAGAAGTGACTGATCCGTAGCGCAGTGTCTAAATTTGAGTTGCTGCGCTGAGAGCCGCGGGTTCGAATCCCGCACGGAACAATTATTGCTTAAAAATAATTGTTCGAGTCTGGATGTTTATCTTTGGGCAATTTATGTTTGTACGATGCCTCCGCCATACTAAAGAAATTCCTAGTGTGGTGGTAACGTTTTTTTAAGAATAAAAATAAGTAGATTATTTTTACATTTTCTTGATTGGAAATATTTGATTAATACTATTTTAGATTGTTTGTTTGCAGTTTTTTCTGAGTCTGGTGTGCTTTAGAGTTTGAATTCAGATCTCATATTAGTTGTTTTGATGCTTTTTCTTCTTACTTCTTCCCCTTTATCTCGTAGGTACATAATTTGTAGCACTGCTATTTCGATTAAGCGTGATAAATCATAGGTCTTGTCATTAATTTTATTGTATAATATATAATATTTCACCTATATATCTTGCCTCCTCCCTTTATTATTTCGTATTTTTTAATGTCATATATTTTTAGCAGTTTCATATATTCTACTAGCGAATAAACCATGACAAAAATTAATCTCAGTGCCTATATCTAATACAAATGCGTGATTTTAGAAATATGTATTCATAAAAGATAAATATATTATATATAATTTTTGATGTACTTTTGTAAAACATACAAAGGTAAGTAAAGGTTATGCTAATTCACAACCAATGTGTTAAATATAGTTTGGAAATTAAAAGAATTTAAGTGGTAAACTTTTGTCTATTATATGTATTTTGGTTACAACAATCTAATGTTATTAGATTAGAGGATATTTTCAATATAAGAATTGGTAAAATTTACACTATCAGAATATTAAAAATTTTGTTAAGTTAAGCCCATCTATACAGCTTTTTAACGTTAAGAAAATAAGTATTTTAATTCAGAAAATCCTTACCAAATTTACGTTACAAGGAAATCGTTTCATTAACATACATTGTTTTTACATCGTTTTAATAGACAATTTTTTACAAGCACTTACTCACGTTATTAAATGATAACAGGATTAATTTGAATCCATTACACTAAACCAATTCCAGATATACAAATTCAACCAGTAACACACCATCTTACTTATTAATATTATATGTAATTAGTTTGTTTTGCATTGTGTTTTTATCTATTTAAAATATTTAGCGTCTTTTAACTTGTATGCATTTAGTTTTTATATATTTTTTATGTAAATCTAATTTACTTTTTCTTCCTCTCTTGTCTTTTTGCTGTCACTTGATGGATGATTCACCTCTATTTCTGTCAAGTAAGAAGAGTCCTTCCTTTGAAGTAGAGTTTTAAATAGTTTGATTTATTTATTTTGTGTGTATTTCTATCTCATTTATAATTACATATAATGCGATATTGTTCCATTCACGTCGCTTATCCGCTTGAAGATTAATGTAATCAGGATATTTTTTAGTTTGATGCTTAAATGTTGCTGTGTTAATTATTTCATATGTTGTTAACGATAATAAACTATTATTTAAATGGCTATTCACTATTTTAGTAGTGATTTTCTCATTTTACTCACAATTATAAAAGTTAACTAAATGTAATTCTTTTGTGGCGGTCGTAGAAGAAATATAAAGCTAAGTAGATTTTAATTACACGTGTACCTACAAATAAAATATAATAATCTAGTTTTGTATGTGATAGAACTAAGTTTTAGCTCAAATACATCGGCTCGACTTGGAAAAGAGCACGCTAAAGCGTAAGAATACCAGCGTGAAACAGCAGCGTAATGCTGTAGTTTTTTGTATGGTAACAGATGAGAACCAAAGATCCTTTTTTCGGGTAACGAGGCTTTCCATCTTAGACCTCAGGGGTAGTCTTAGTAATCTTAGTCAATGTTTCTGCATTTTGATTCTTAATTGAGAATAAATTCAATCAGGTGGTCTGTGTGAATATATATGGTACATAGCTTTTAGAGTCAGGGCTAAACAATCTCTGTAGTATTTATTAATTCACACTTACTTACTTTACTTTTACTTTGCAGTCCGAAATCTGAAAGCAGTTATTGGTGCATTAAGTAAATTAAAGTTTCAGTTAGGATCCAATTGCAGTGCTCTCAACTAACCTTACTGTAAACTTTGCTTAAATATAAGTTTATGGCAAAATAAAATTAATATGTGGAAATTTCCTTCTAGCTTTTAAAATAATATTTTTTTTTATTTGTTATCCTTATTAATCCAAAAGTTTAATGTAGATCCACATATTTGAAACTTTAGAAGGATTTACGGTGAATAATGGATGTTTTCCTCTCATTATTTTGGGTCATTCTTAAGAAACGAATTTATACTTCGCTTAATGGCTGCTGTATATTTTTAGTACCTAAAAATTAAATATGTATCAAAATAAAACGTTTGCATGCTTATTGCGAGTACACGACTAAAGTGCTGTGAAAGTTATTAAACATGGATATAAGGTAAAGGCACATATTGTCACGGAAATTCTACTAAAACTCGAAAGGAGATCGGAAATTAAGCATTGATATACCCTTTTGAAGTTTTGGCTATTTTTATCAGAACCACTTTATACTCTTGAAATAGACGACAGGTTTTGCTATTCGATCTTGATTTATTATCATCATCATCATCATTACAGCCCTTCACAAGTTCACTGCTGAACCTGACCAGACCTTCTTCTTGATTTGTAGTCTAAATTAATTGAATATGAAAAGAAGTCAGAGCACCATATTCCGGTGTATTTAGTTCCTAATTACGACCGTACAAAATGCAACGAAAAAAGTAATGCTCATTATTCTACTACCAAAATTATTATAATTTAAAAAATATGAATAATCATCCAATCCCGTGGGTATAGACCTAAAAATTTACTTTAATTTTTAATAATGCATTTTAACAGAAGGCGTTGTTGACTAATTTTGATTTTCTTTTACAAAACCTACAGCGAGAGCAAATTTTTCAGAAGGATTATCTAGTATTGTCTTTGCACCATTAGGTATGTAAAATTTGTGGAGATATATGAATTGATTACGTAATAAGCATCCATTCTCATAAACCAATATGAACGTTTCATATTTACGCAATAAATTCCTATTATTACCTAAAATACCCAGCCAATCAATTTTATTTATTTTAATAATCGTTTATAGTCCAAAATTAAAATAATAATAAATAATCCAAAAATAACCTACTGAATGCATATCAGTCTGGTATTCGCTGCGGTCACAGCACCACCACTGGAAGTTACTAAGGATATCAAACACAAAAAAGTAACAGTGTGGTGTTCATAGACTTTTCCAAGGCTTTTAATAAAGTTCACCGTATATTTACCCCTAATTAACCTGTCCGATCTTAAATTTGCTTCCTCGGTCTTGGAATGGGTTTTCTCTTATGTTCGTGACCGCCTGCAATCAGTCCACTTAAGGGAGGAGACTTCCCAGTAGTCTTGATTCTGGTGTACCGCAAGGCGGAATCCTATATCCCATATTATTTTAAGTTTTCATTAATAACGTATCCTCCGTCATTGATTATTCGTACCATCAGTTTCATTCGATCGGATATCGATAATCTACATGATGCTATGACTGGTCATTGCGTTTTGACATTTCTGTCAATCCAACTAAATATAGTGGGCTTGTTAGTAGCTAAAGAATTTAGACAAAAATTGACGTCAGTTGTTTGCCAGCCGCATTTTATAATGATAACTTGATCCCGTTCTCTGACTGGGTAAAAACCTGAGTCTATACGTTGAACTGGGAAAAGAGGAGGGGGACTGAGATGTTTAACGTCCAGATGTCATAGTTAACCGCGATTAACATAGATTAAAATTATTAATTTTTGTTCCATTTTACGCAGTATGACTTTATAATATTTTGAAGTTTTGCAGTTGTGTACTTAGGTTGGGATTTAATTTTATTAATTATAGGATCCCACGCAGATGGTAGCACCCAGCCATCTTTTCTATTGAAATAACTCACTGACAAGTCACTGAAGTCAGCCGTAAATTCACTGCTACTTAAGATCGCTGTAACGTCTGAAAACCTTTCTCCCATACTAAACTAAGCATATGCTTGTTCAAACACTCGTATCTGCCATTAATCATGCAGATGTTTGTTACTCAGACTTGAACCAAAATCTTCTCAATAAGCTTGAGCGCCTTCCTAACAACTGCATCAGGTTTATATTCGGCCTTCCAAAATGTGACCATATCTCTCAATTTCGAATTCGCCTTAAATGACTAACTACCCAAGAAAGGTGCACTTCCAGAATATTGTCTGTCTCGACTCGATTTTAAATTATTTGTCATCCCTTTCCTACCCTAGAGAAAAATTTCAATACCATTTCTCCAACCGCGACTTAGTATTTCGCTCTTCAACTAATCTGAAGACTTCAGTTCTACTCCATTTCACTGGCTTTATCGGCAACTCTTTTACTATTCAGGCTACACTACTCAGAAACTTCTTACCTGAAGACATAAGGGAAACACCAAATACGAAGCCTTCAAAAGATTGCTACAGGAATATCTTTCGAAAACAATGTCGTCAGCATAGTGTCAATACTGCTACTTTTATCCAGACATGTTATGTTTGCATATATATACGTATTTATGTGTATGTACATGTATAATATGTTTTAAGGATAATTGTTTAGGGGGATATTACACTTGACTGATGGTAAAAATTAACCAAACTTTTTTGGCGGCTTGAAGTATGTTTCAATGGAAGCGCGCTTCAAGATGTAGCCAATCTCGTTAGTGACTCCTCTGACATATGGTAGTACAGCAGGTACACGTCTCTCATACATAGGAAAAACTAAACGGTCTTTCCTACATAGGACAAACTAAAAAATCAATTAAAACCCGCGTTAAAGAACATATAGCTGATGTGAAGAATCGACGCTATTTGATAGACTACAAATCCTCGCTAAAGGTCACCAATTCCTTCAAATGATGATTCGCGAGGTTATTGAAATCAAAAAACATCCTAATTTAAAAAGAGAAGATGGCTGAGTGCTAGCATCTGCTTCGGATCCTATAAATAATAAAATTAAATCCCAACCTAAGCATACAACTGCAAGACTTCAAGAATAAGTTCATACTGCGTAGATGGGAACAAAAATTAATAATTTTAATCTATGGTAACCGCGGTTAACTATGACATCTGAACGTTGAACATATCAGTCTCCCCTCCCCACCCATGACCGTGGGTGCTGTAAATTGCTTGGAACGTCGGATATATAAAAAATATACGCGATAAAATCCGTAAAAACTAGTGTTATTTAAATTATCTTATCAATTTAATAAAATATTGCAATAGAAGTGCTTTTAAATCGCTCATAAAAGCAGTTTTTCTAAATTCTTAAAGTGTCAATCTTCAAACCCCTCGGAACTAGGTGCCTTTACCGTAGTCGCTGAGGTGAAATTGCTTATAGAGATTAATTAGGTGCCTTTTTAGGAGTTTCACCCAAAAGGTATAATTCTCTACGTTCTGGGTTGACAAGGCGTGCATACCATAAAGCTTTCCGCAAAGTCAGCACTTTCTGTTACCATCACCCTTCTTTAAAGTATAAACAGTTTCAATAACGACAGTGATATACCTAGATATGTATAATAAAGTCAACAATGAAGGGTTTGTGAACCTGCATGTGACTTTCTTTATCTCAGGTAACTTGGTTGTTACAAATCGTTTACAGTCTCATTTTATTAATTCCCTTAAATATTGAGAATTATCCATCATTACTAATTTAGTAAAAAAGTAATGATGGATAATTCTCAATATATAAAAAAAATAGTATTATGGTGTAAAAATTTTTAATATTTTTGATTAATAATGACAATAATTTCAAAAGGTTCTAATAACTCTGTTTAACAAAATTCAAATGATCAATTTTAATTTAGATACGAAACATTCTGCGCATCACAATGAAGCCGAGCACCTGGTGACTCTGCCTGAGGATGAGGCGGTCGTTGCTATGATGGGTTTACCCCGAGCTGGTGAAATCACACGAGCTCAACTGAGAGTAAAAGAGAGTAAAGAATTTAAGGTTAGTTCTGGCTTTAACGCAAAATATTGGGCAGGGCTCATTGCAATATTCTTTAATATATTATTAAGTTCAAATAATGACCTTATAATGTAAAAATGTGCAAATCTTTTACAGAATACAGTAGATAAATTAGTACAAAGAGCAAACGCCTCAATCATTATAGGTACTTCATCGTGGAAAGAGCAATTCACAGAAGCTATAACAGCTAGCTCAGGTAATTGACGCTCTGTATCGGATAAATTTATACATTTATAGCTTCTTTTTTCGACTCTTCATTTATAGATCTCTATGTTGTGACTATTTTCAGGCTCAGATGATCCCGACGAGCCTACTTCCTGGTCGGATTATGTCCTTCATATCATCACATTGTTTTGGAAAATAATTTTTGCGTTTGTCCCTCCTACGGGTAAGTCATGACCTTACAGTTAGTTTTAAAAATAGTTAAAAAAATAAAATGTAGATGGCCTATATAATAAATATTATTTGTATACATATTCAAAATGCAACACAATATTTTAATATTGTATGATTTAATTTTTAAGTACCAGTGCAAATGATTTTACTGATCTAAACGCATAAATTCATATCTCGAAATTAAAATAATATTGCTTTGTGTATCTGTGTTAAAAAATCCCTCACGCTTCTACAAGTATATTTTTATTAACCCTGATAAAAATCAGGGGTTCTTTTAGGTTGCTAGTATCCATGTGTCTCTGTATTCGAGTACATGTGTGGTTGTCTGCGGTATCATAGCTCCGGAACAGACGAACCGATTTTGATTAAGCTTTTTTACGTTTGAAGGTTATCTTAATTGAAAGTGTTCTTAGCTGTTTTTTAAGAAAATCTTGTTAGCCGTTTGAAGATCGTCAGCTCTTTATGTTTCGGGGGTATCTAAAACTTTTTATTTAATTTATTTTTCAATGTTAACGTAATATTTTTTCGTAACAATAAGAGATTATCGTAGTCACTTGAAGTTTTTATTTGAATGACGATAATTTATGACTAAACAAAGTTGGAAATTCAGTATTGGAAAAACGTCGTATTTGTTTAGCCTACTTATACCTTTCATTTATATAATATATTCAAAAGATTTTTAAGTATAAAATAAAACTAATTTTGTGAATTTTATCGCTTTAAATTTTAACCTTTTAATGTCGTTTTAGGCACCTTTACAGCAATTATGGTGACTGGGGAGTCGAAGGTATTTGACGTCCGGATGTCATAATTAACGACGGCTACTTTCAACTTGTAATTATTAATTTTTGGTCTAATCTATGCTTAAAGTATCTTGAAGTCTTGAATGCTTGAAGTTTAGTATGGGTTTGGTTTTGATTTAATTAATCATGAGATCCCAAACAGACGGTAGCCAGCACCCAACCACCTTCTCTATTGAAATTAGGATGTTTTTTAATTTCAATAGCCTCTCGAATCATCGTTGGTAGGATTCTGTGTTCTTTTGCAAGGATTTGTGATCTGATATAATGGTTGGGACGATCCTGAACCTGTTGACATACTGTAGACCTCCCGGATGTCGGTGAATTAAAAAAGATACAATTAAACGCGTTAAAATCCGTAAAATTTGTTTTATTACTTGTGAAGTATTCGTGTAAATATAAGAAACTACAATATTTAATTAGATCATGTCTATAAAGTATTTTTGTTATGATTACATAGATATTGGCGGTGGTTACGTCTGTTTTGTGGTGTCCATCATTTGCATCGGACTTGTGACAGCGGTAATCGGTGATGTGGCGTCACACTTCGGTTGTACTTTGGGTATCAAAGACTCAGTTACTGCTATAGTTTTTGTTGCTCTGGGGACTAGTATACCAGGTAAATAAATTTAAACAACAATAATATATTACTATCGGTAATTCTTTTACTCTTTAGGCTACACTTCTCTGGAACTCCTTACCTGAAAAAAAATAGTAAATAATATATATATATATATATATATATATATATATATATATATATATATATATATATATATATATATATATATATATATAATTTTCTCCCGTGAGCACTAAGATGCAAAGCCTCGTTTCCAGTACAAAGGTTCTCCGGTTCGCTGGTATTTCGCGAGAGCGTGGTCCTTCCCAGGTAGAGCCGACCCATTTGTGCTACAACTTTACTACTAATATCGCTGCAGCAACATACAAAGAAATACATTATATGAATTATTATGTATTTGTTTGTATTCATATGTAATCGTATTTGTATAACTTATAAGCCTTCTTTTAATATATTATATCTATTTATGTATATTATATTTAGTTATTTAAGTCACCTCTCACTAATTTTTCACCACGCCATGAGTTGACTAGCAGATAATGCTGACTGGCATTAAGTCAGCCTATTGTAGCATTTATGGTTAGAATAATAAAACTAAAAATATAAAAAATATACAATGTTGTGAACAATGTTCAGGACTAAGAATATTCTTGTTATTCTAAGTCGATGTTAATTTATAAACCATATGACCAGTTTCCTGATTTACCGGATCAAATAATTTTTATCTGGCATATTGTATCATCATCATAGTCACAGCTTATCAAATCTATTGCTATACACCTCCCCCATAAATCACCTAATTGGGAGAAACGTTGCTACAGTTCCTTTGCTTGGCAGGCGAGTATGGCAATCGTAATTTTTTATTTCATTGTTTAGAGTTGTTATCAGGAAGATGATGCCCCCGTATTATAATCAAAATTAATATATATATATATATATATATATATATATATATATATATATATATATATTCATCTATTTTCGAAAAGTTGTAAAACAAACATTGCTTTGAAATTTCTTAACTAAGGTAGATGTTGTTAACATTTTATTTAGCCTTTCATCACATGATAGCTTACATTAAAAATAATAATAACTACAAAGTTTTCGAAAGATGTCTAAACTGCACAGCTATCTGAAGAGAAAAAAGATATAAGTACGATTATCCAAAATAAAGCATATTTTGCGGTTAGAAAATTTAATAACCCTATTAGTTTTAATATCAATATTTACAGTTAATACTCCCAAAAGTGAATTTAAAATAGGTACTTACATTACATAGGTTGAGTATTAAGTTGAGAAGTGGTAGGGTAGCGTAATATGGGTATATTATGTGAAGGGAAGTGAACCGTGTAACGAGAAGAATATTGTCTATGAAACTGGATGTATATTAAAGTATAGGTAAGCCAACGAAAAGATGCACTTAGTAAAGAAAGGTGGGTAAAAGAAAGGAGGTAAGAGGGAGAATTGAGTGAAGAGGTGACGGCTAACAGAGGAGAATAAGTGGGGAACACATGGTGTGCCGAACCTAATAACTTGGGGACAGGATGAAAAAGACGAGGAGTAATTACAAAAATATTACACTTTTCACTCTTGTCACTTTTCATATGCATTTAAAGGAATAATATATAGAAATAATGAAAATAAATGTAAATAATCATTTATAATTTAAATTGTTATTAGATACATTCGCCAGTAAAGTAGCAGCGATCCAAGATAAAACAGCGGACGCATCTGTGGGCAACGTGACAGGTTCCAACGCCGTTAATGTGTTCCTCGGTATAGGAGTCGCGTGGACTGTCGCTGCCATAGTCCATTGGACACGCAACGAGAAATTCCACGTCGAACCTGGAAAGTAAGAACATCTGTATTTATATCTGTGTTTGTATCATTTTCCACTCTGCAAGGTGCTAATGTTTTTCGAGTGTATGTATGTTTGTACGTGTCTATTTCTTTGGCACGCTCTGTAGCCTAAATGGATTAATGGATCTAATCATATGAGGTGACGTTAGGATTGCCTTAGTTGGAGAAGTGACATAAGTTATAAAGCTTTTCTCCTTTCAGTAAACTTTCTTACGCAGCCTTTCGCGCCTTTTATCCCTCACTACTCTTTTAACCTTTAGACTCGTTGTGAAAGTAATTAATTTTATTAAAATATTAATTAATTAACAAAACCAACAGCTCTTTTTTAATAAAAAAATAGTAATATATTTTTGTGTTTAAGAACCAATTATAGGGTTCTCTTTAAGAATTTTGAAATTCCCACTGCGTTGTGTTGATAAATGTAAAAGTTAACAATAAAATATTGAGCGGGCTTAAAGTAAAAGAAAGTCATTGGATGTTGTACTTGACCGATATTTTTTAGAATAAGGATGACAAACGAGCACACAGTCCACGTAATGGCAGGTGGTTGCTGTGGCCCATATAGTACATCTACGTACATCTATCCTCGGATACGAATCAAAATGATGCGTTCAGATGCGTTGTCTAGTGAGGACTAAGATGGAATGTCTCGTTTACAGTAAAAGGGGTCTCTGGTTCCTCCGTTTATTCCGGTTATGTTGCTATTTTACGCTGATATTCTGAAAGAGCTTGGTCTTTCATTGTAAGATCGTTATAAGAAGTAAAAAATGCATTATTCTTTGTAATAAATGAAGATGTACATACTAAAGCTAATATTTTGTTCTGTTATTTATACTTTGTGTACTTTAGTGATAATGGGATAACTATAAATATTTTTGTCAACAGTCTAGCATTTAGTGTAACGATGTTCTGCTCTGAAGCTGCACTTGTAGTTATAGTGCTCATCTTGAGGCGGAGAAAATCTATCGGAGGAGAGCTCGGTGGACCTCGCTGCATGAAGGTCACTACTGCTATATTCTTCTTCTCTTTATGGTTGATCTACCTCATCTTATCCGGTTTAGAAGCTTATGATGTTATCCAAGGTTTTTAAATCTAGTCTAGATAAGACTGGGTGGTGTTTTTAAGAAAACGGATGAGGAATCTTCGATTGTGTTCTTGAAGGACAAACTATTACATGATGAATGTAACCAGGGGTTTTGTTAAAGATAATACTTTCATGTTTGATGTTAAAAATATTAGAGAGGATTCTTAAAGCCTATCGAGTAAACTGTAAGGTGTTGTGCTCAAATGTACAGGTTAGAACTCTTTAAACTATTGTCCTCTTTCCCTAGTCGTTTTCAATGTCTCACATTTCTATTATTGGTAATTGAAGCCTTAAAGGCTGTGGTTTTGAAGGTCTAATTAGATTAGTCAAGGAAATTATAAATAATATGAATACATAATCTAGAAATCATAGAAGTTGTTATTGAGATATATTTGTTTATGTTTGATTTGTGAAATATTGTATTTTTTGTAGACAACGCCAAGATTTTGCAAACGCTTTAACAGGAACTGTACTCGTAGATTAGGTTGCTAGAAGGGTTGAAGAAACCTGTAGATGTAAGATTGTGTTTGTGAACTTTGTGTTCCAACAAATTTGTTTAAATTGTATGGTTAGTAATAATGTAATAAAATTATTTATTTACTTTTTATTACTGTTTGAAACAATGTTATCCGGAAATTTTTGTTTGATCTATAAGATATTTTATTTACAATTTATTGAAATTTGTTTTTTCTGATTTCAAAAAAAATCCTTAAAACATATTACTATTATTTGAAGTCATTGCTTCACTTATTCTACTTTTAATTATTTTGTTTCTTTATTTTAAAAATAATTGTATACATGGACAAAAAACCACATAGTTTCGAAAGCCTTAAAATAACACAACTAATTTTACTTTAAGTACTTACAATTTGCTGATTACTTAAGGTATATTCACTATCGTTTTTTAACTACCTGTCATTATAGGTTATTAGGCTGTGTTTGATTGCTATCTCATCTGTATAGGTGGTGATGTGGTATAAGTGGTGATGTGGGCGAAGACAGGAGAAGGCGAGACTATATAGAGACTAAGCTATTAAAATTTGTATACTAAAAAGAGGATGGATCATATTTTATGTCAAAATTTGGTTTCTATGAGTTACTTTATACGTTAAAATTGTAACCCATATCAGTGGATATGTGTAAGGTTTATATATTTATAGCAGCAGTGATAGCTCAAGGGCTGAACAACCCTCTTAAATTTGAACGCACGCGAGTAATCCATTTACGAACCCAACCAAATTGTAAGTTGCAATTTCAAATGCTGGTTGAGATATTCAAGGTATTCTATTTCAAGGGTAAAAAAAATATCTGAAGGAACTTCATGTCTAATAAATCAACAATATTCAGAGTTTTGCCAGTATACACTGAGGCAGTGTACCGGTCTCTCTTCTGCTTCAAAATACTCTCAGGCGAGTCTATTACCAGCAGTGTCACTATGTTGTACGGGCTGTTTAAATATTTTTAACATGTAAGTACTTTTTAATAATTTTAATTACCGACATTATATCAAATACATCGAAGGCTCCAAGCCCAAATTAAATATTTTATTATCACATTTTGACAAACAAAATTTTATTTTCGTGACCGTTACAGCCTATTAAAGTCCACTGCTGAACACAGGCCTCCCCCATAGATTGTCCCATGAGGGGGATACTTGGCAAGTGGGTTGACAACTGCAGTATTTTTTAATTTTAGTCGTTATTAGGAAGACTCTGATGCTCATCTCTTGATTTCTTTCCCTCCGTAGTCTCTTACGACATCCACGGGACGATATGCCACTTCATGGTAGTTATTTTCGTAAGTCGACGAAATATTTCCTTGATTTGATATTGTACTTCTTATTATCACAATTCATGAGTTGGCTAAAAGACTGTATCCCCGTGTCTTTGAGGCTACATCAAAATCAATCTCTAATCTCGTTACATGGAAAGGCTTTTATTACGAAACTAACTAATGTGCCGAAAATACAATAAATATAATATACACAAGATTAAATTTACCCCATTCTAAAGTAACTTTCAAGTCCGGATGCAGTCATGAGTATGGTACCTAACCTAATATTATCTCAAGAGAAAAATAAGCTCGCGAAAAGGCAATTTGTGAAGGATCTGTTTGGTATGTGGGTCAAACGTGCAGTGGGAAATAGGCCAAGTATTACGATAAACTTCATTTGTATTTCATAATGTTTGTATATTATTACACTTATTAAGTTTGACACGGCACGTGCTTCGTATCATTTTTAAAAACTTTTATGTAAAATTCAGAAATATATAACCAATTTAACAATTGTTTATTTTTGTATAAATTTACATAGACAAGTTTTGGATGAATGGTAATCGGTTTAGATAGTCGATTAAATATTAGTTTATTTACAAGTACTTATATTGTTTTATTTACATAGAATTGTTTATATATTAGAGTTTTATATAAGATATAGGAAAGAATAATTAAGTATAATGAAACGAGATAAAAATATTAATGCAATGAAATAGATTTAACGATATGTATATGTTTGTATCATTGTGTTTAACTATATACACGTAATTTTACTGGTCGACCTATCTAACTTCATTCGAAAAGTTCCTCTAGCTTTGCCATAAATAAGCTTTAAATTTTAAACTCCTATCGCCCGAAATCTAACATCTCTTAAGCTTCAAGCTTTTGTGAACTACTTCTATAATCTCATATACATAGCTTCATCTATTGTCCCATATCATTCGATATAAGGCACTTGTAGTTGAACTGTTTGTTAATAGTCAATGATTTCTTTAAAAAATACAACATAATATGTTCATTTTAAAAATGTTAAAGGTCCACGTTTTAATTAAATTGTTGTTTATGTAATGTTGAATTATGTGTGTTAAATGGTAATGTGAAATAATTTTTGACAGTGGTGTACTTAGTACAAAATTAAATGATATTTATATTCAAAGTATTTGTTTTAATACAAGTATATTAGTAGTAAGTTCTATACTCCTATATAGATAGAGCTATATTCCGTTATCGCAAGATGAATCTGTTTAATATATTTATAGCACATTCACGACACTAAGAGTATATTCCTTCAAAATTAATAGTTGCTGACACTTATCCTAAATGGTGTACGGCGGCACTTAAAAAAGCTATTAAAATAAAGACACAAAACTTTACGTACATTTAAAATGTATAGCAGTAGGCATGACGAAGAAACTTATAAGCTATTGCGTGAGCTTATAAGGTAATCAGAAAAATTTACTTACCAATCTTACATAACCTTTCTGGAAAATTCGATTAGTATAAATCTTAAACACTTCTTGTTGTATGTTAAACAAAAATCTAAATCAAATTTAATACCTGGGTTCTGCAATAATTCTGATCAACTTATCTGTAATACTTTTTCAAACTACTTTCGTTGCTTTTTTTAATTCAGGTGATAGTAATACTCAGGTGTCTAAAAAAATTATAATAATTGTTCAGTGTCGTCTCAGTTGAGTGTGTTGACTTCAATCGAGAAAAACGTAAACACGGTCAAAAAACTGCTTGAAACGTTGGATCCAACGAAACTTGCCTGGCCCTGATAACCTTCCAGCTCATTTTCTTATAAACTATTTTATACGCTTACGCTTTAAACTATGGTATACGCGACCCTAAACCATTTATTTAATCCGACTCAACGTGGGTTTTTAAGAGGATACACTACTGTTTCAAACCTTGCACTTTTTAATGTATTGTTGACTGAAGCAATGGACAGTCGTCACTATGTAGATGTCGTATATATCGATTATAGTAAAGCCTTTGTCAGAATACAACATAATTTGCTATTACGAAAACTGTCCAAGATTATTTTTAGTGGCGATCTGCTTAAATGTTTCACGTATTATATAAATAATTGATCACAAGCTGTTGTCATCAGCAAATACATATCGGGATGGGTAACTATTCCAAGCAAGGTACCACAGGGTTCACTGTTTCTACCGTTATTATTTGTTTTTATCAATGACATTAACTATTACGTAAAGAAAGCTCGCTTATTATGTTTTGCCAACCATATGAAGCTCTTTTTGAAAAAGATCTTTTTTCTTTACAAGAAGATTTGTCAAATCTAGAGCGTAATTGCGACCTAAATTACTTAGATTTGAACCCTTCTAAATGTAGTTATATGTCCTATAGTCGTAAATATAAACCGCTTATCTTCAACTATAAACTAAAAGGTGAAAATCTTAAAAATTTTTAAAAGGGATTGTACCGGTAGGCGTAGTCTAGGGTAACCCCCCACTAGATGGAATGACGACCTGGTAAGACATGCAGGAAGTCGATGGATGCAGATGGCTCAGGACCGTGCTTTGTGGTATTACTTCGGGGAGGCCTGTGTTCGGCAGTGGACTTGTGAAGGGCTGTAATGATGATGATAATGATGAAATAATGCCTCACATAGCCCCCGTAAACAAAAACATTGCTGCTCTTAGATTGGGGAGCAGAACTGGGACTCTCCCACTAGTAATGATGTTCTCTATCCCCAGCTACTACACCAATCACCTTACAGGTATGTTTAGCGGCAACAAGAGGAAATGGAGCAGGCATGGACGACAGCATCATCTTGATCATAACTGAAATATTGAAAAACCGCGATTGATAACCCGCACGACAAGCTGCTAATTTGTATTACCCCTACGTGAGTTATGAGGCAGACCAACAGACTAACAAATAACAGAAGACTTAAAAATATTCAAAGAAAGTTTATCTGGTACTTCTATTATAGAACCAAAGATTCTCGCTATACTTCTGATAATTAAATTGGTTATTACTGCCCTTAACATTTGTCTCAATTACATCTTAGCTGTCTTGTCAAACCTCTTAAACACCACTCATTTAAGTCTCTCACTTGCATCTACAAATTATGGACAAAAAACATATATTTAAAAAGCAATAATTTTAACAAGCTAACCACAGAGTTTGAATTCGATTTGTTAGTACTAAATAAGTTTGACTTCGATTTGTTTAACACTAATGCGGCGTCAG